CCAAATTCTACTTTCACAGAAAAAAAATGGGAAGCTAAGTCTCTTTTGAGTTTTAAAGAGACAGTGGAATAGAAATATGACCAACAGAAGAAGTGACTGTCCTGCGCTATCCACTGAAGAAAATTAACTTTCTCAAAACAAATACCAGAGTTATTAAAGATCAGTATTTTAACCTGTCTAGACACCTGAATTTGCCATCTGGACAGCAGCATTGCTATTTATTCTTTCCAATGACTGTAAACTGAGTCACTGGCACAGAGCAAATAATTTAAAACCAAATTATGTTCCATATGGCAAAAATGTCAAGTGTCACCTGAGCCACATCATCCAGACATTACCAGATGAGCTGCAGTTCAGATGAAGAAGAAAATGAGAATGACTGAGAGTTTCTTCTGGGCTTTGACCCTGGCATACATCTCAGCAAGAACCATGGTGGTTAAATATCCTGTTCTGAATCTCAAAAAACTTCCCTGGCATAGGCTCCTTGCCCATACTTGYTCACTCCCAGTGAACAGGAACCTTATCTTTTGCATAGAGAAGATATAAGGTCATGGGCCCTGGAAAATCAAGCTGAATCACAGGCCACATGATTCAAATGTGCTCTTAGAAAGAGAATTTTAGCATCCTGAAATGTCATGCTTAAAGCCCTGAACAAGGAAACCCGGTGTGCCAGTGTTGATTTAAGAGGCCATTCCTTYCACATCCATTATCAAAAATTCTAAAGAAGGGAAGGTAAAACATTATCACTCTGACTTTTACCTTTTCTAAAGAAAAAACAGGCACAGTGGCCTGGCACTGTTGGTTTTACTAGAATATCTGCTGGAGAGCACAACTGATATACACATGCAGGTAAACACAAACACACATGCACACACAATACTGAACTTTGGGTTGGCAGCCAGGCTGTGGTAACCCATGTCCCCTGGACACAAATCAACTGTGAAGGAACAGGAAAAACTCAGTGTAATGGTTAACCAGCCCAGTGGGTTATTATCCATCAAAAGYAGAGGAACAGCAGTGCAGGAAGCAGTGCTGGTCACCTCTCCCTTTGCAATGCTGCTGGATGCCTGGTATTAAAATCAGCRCTGAAAAAGACCAGCAAATGCAACGTCAACATGAGAAAGAATCTGAATTTCCCCTCCTGGAATTGGAAATAAGGAGGACTTCTGCATGGAAGCAGAGATGTTGTGTGAAGCTTGATGATGAAAGAATATRGCAGATTCCAATATCACCATTATCAAATACAAATGCATAGGTTTTGGTAGGATTAATAAGGTTATTGGTGTCAGATCCAGGCAATTATTCCCTATACAGCAGCAAGTGATCAATTTTTGTGGCAACTGACCAAGTATCAATGTTGGCAGCTGCAATCATGGCACCAGGACTGCAGCAGATGGTTAAAGTGAATCCATTCAGGTGAAAGACTAAACCAGGAGTGTTCCTACAGCCTAYCAGGGAAGAATCAAAGTCATCATAGCTGAGCCCTCTTCTTCCCTGCTTGTACCCTGCAGTCTCCTGCAAACTCCAGATGTTCTCTCAAATACTTTCAAATCTTCCAAAGTCTTTTACAGCAGTGCATTAAAAGTGAATACACCACAACACCCACGGTATTTCTTCCAGTGCTACCTCAGTAGGCATTTTGCAGAGAGACAATACATTACTGCTTGGACTTCAGCTTGAAAAGACAAATTCCATCTGCTTTTTCTTTAGCTTTCAATGATTGAACTTCATCAGCTATGGCAGAAATGACAATCAAAAATTCAGGTTTGTTTTTATTTCCTTAYAAAAGCATTGGCTTCTTATTTAAGAAGACCTTGAAATAAATGATTTAGCAAAAACAAACAAAAAAAAGYRAATTCTTTCTTTCAACAAACTCAATTTCCCTCTGAAAGGGTTTGCCCTGTGTGTGGATTWTTCATTCACTTTAATTATTTTGAAGTGCCTCTGTTTGAGTGGGTAGGAGTTAAGTATCCACAACACCAAAGCAGGTCCTAGAATTAGTTGCTGTAAACAAAATGTTCTGCAGCAGTGGCCCAAAGCYGCAGAAGCAGCAAGCCTTGAGTACTTTGACTTTCTCACAAAGAGTACTTCAGATGGGACCCAGACTCATGAGAATGTATTATGGGACTCACATTTCATGGACAGGTCATATATTTCTAATGAGGAGCTTTGGTTGTTACCCTTTGTTGGATGTTTTCAGTCCAGATAGCTTTCTGGTTAATTAGGTACACACACTAAAAACAACAACAGAAGAAGAAAACAAAYCAAAAAAGTTCTAGGAAAACTTCAGATGGAAGCATTTGGACAGTTATGTGCACACATCTACAGAGAGAAGAGGAGGAACTGAATCTGGGGAAAAAGTCTCAKGATTATCACTTCATACTCAGTGAACACTGACTCAAACAAGAATTCCAAAAATAAATGCATCTAACATTTAAATCCCAAGCTGTATATTCAGTGACACCCTTTCTCTCAAGACTGTTTGTATACCCAAAACCAAAACCCCAGCAGCTAAACATCTACAGCTTTGAGGAATTTCAGTTCTCAGTCTCATGGCAAAGTTACCATTCAAACATCCCACTCTATCCACAGGCTTCTACTACCACATTCTGATTTAAGGACATAAATGCAAGAAAACTAAAACCCGCCACAGAGGAAGCAGTTGAAGTGAAGAGTATTATATAGGAATCCCTTTACAGATAYAAAGATGGGATGTAGGTATCTGGAGAAACTGAAGATACCTTCTCTGGTACATCTCATTCCATAGGTCTCTCCATTTTCAAACTGCATTCCTGTGCTTTGCATAAACTTTCATGTACATTTATATCTCCTCTGCATTGTTGCCCATAGTTACACCCAGTRTTTACAGGTAAGCCTGCAGCCCTGTTCCTCCATGGAGGTAAATAAGAGAGGAAGGAAAATAGTATGAAGGAAAGTAAGAAACAAATCTGCACTTACTCATCTGTAGTTGGTAGCTCTATCTTAGCAATAATTGCTTTAAAATGCAAGTTGTTGCTGAGGTTTGATTTAAAAATCTCTGCCAGTTCTGACAGTCAGGTGAAGGTAATGCTGCTGGCTCCAGAATAATTTGCATATCTTATCASTAAATAAAATGTGTGAGGTGTGTACCAATCTGATGAAATTATAAACAAGAGTCCACACAAGTAGACATGCCTTCCTGTTTGATTTCTGTCCTGTTCACTCCTCTATAATAAGTTATATGATCATCTCATCCTAGCTGGAGGTTTAACTGTGCATGTAAAAAGRAAAATGATAGCAGCCTATTCTTTTCCACACTTTACAGCTGGGAACCTGGCAAAAATGTGATTTTGGGGAACAAGCAGAAAGCTTTTTTTGTAACCATCTACCTCCTCTTTAATTGCTACTGAATTAGGGGAAAATCCCGTGTATTTATGTATTTTTAAAAATAATTTCCTACCCTGAAAGTAAATAAATAAATGAAACTACACCTCTTTTACTACAAAGACAAATATACATGCCTAACTTTATGCCCTGCAATTAATCTCATGTATTTCAACAGGGTTACTCAAAATGCTGTAAGTGAAATACATGTATAAATCCTTGCAGAATCATGGCCTGAACTGCCAAAGTTATATGGCACAATTAAATGCCTAGGACTAAATGTCTCCACAGAAAGATCAGGGAAAAAAAAACCTTTTAGGCATAATAAGTAACAAAATCTACTTCAGGGAATGACTATGGGAGAATCAGCACTGAGGGTGGTGCCTTCCCTTGGGAAATTCATCTGTCACCAAACTCTTCCATTAATTCATCTTCTTCCTTGACCAGTTACCACCTTCATTTACCACTCTGCTCTCCATCATCAAATATCACTCTCCYTTTCCACACTTCCTCTGCTGCTCTGTGAGGAAGGAGACAGGAGATGCATCTTGCTCATTCTTTTGCACAGTGAAGCAGGATGAGAGCATAGCCTGGCCCTTAAATTAACCAGCCAGATTAATAAAGAGATCATGTGCTAATTAACAGACCTGGAGTCCACAGCTTTGCTCCTCAGACTGTTGCTGAACTGTTCACATGCCAGTGTCTCACTGAAAATTGTCTCCTAAATGCTATGGATAACCCTTAGCCTGCTACTGGAGCTCATTATAAGAAGCTGCAGATTAAAATTTATATAAATTGGGATACCTAAACTGCCCTGMCTCCTGAGGAGTAACCCTTCATCTGCTTTCTTCTGCAAATAYCCATGAATGGCATGTTAGAAATTACTTTCCTCCCATGATCAACTTTTTTACTAAAATCTATGGCTTACAGAAAAACTTCTGCTTGTAAATTAACTCAGTCAGAAATATTAACTAAAATGCCAGGAAAACAAAGTCAATCCTTTAAAAGTTCATATGACTATTTGTCACAAACATTTCACCTCTACTAATGAACTGCAAAAATGAATGATAGAAAATGCAAAACTGTATTATGTTTAGCAGTTAACATTTTAATAAGGAGGAGATTAGCAATTTTTAATACCTCCAGTGCTTTGTTATATACAGTAGCACAATAACTGAATATTTTAATTGCTAATTATTTAGACCTCATTCAGTTCTCACTCAGGCAAAACTCCCATTGAGGGACTCTTGCCTGAGAAAAGAGCTACAGGATTTGTTTCACTGTAATTTGAAAAAACTTTATATATCATAAAAACTATCAAGTTATAGTGAGACAAAAATCATTAAATCCTTGGCAATATTAAATCCTACTGAAAGTCCCACTGACTCTCAAGGCCCATGTTTTCATATTAAGTAAAACAGATAATTGCAGTTTACCAGTTGTAACTTACCTGTGTAATTTATGCCCAGATATGCTGGTGGCTTTTAAAGAGCTCTAATAATGTTTTGATTCCTCTTACTGTACCCCTGCTTTTCTCCTGTGGGAAATCTCAGTTCAGATGTGATAAGGAAACAGCATTTCCAAACAATTATGATATCAACACCTTCAGAAACACAAACATTAGCGTTTGGTTTTACCTTTTGACTTCGGCCTCCAAAAGGGTTAAGAGCAGCTCTCAACACTTCTTCCTTATGCTGCTGTAAAGAAAAGAAATGCTTATATTTAGGGATTTGCACACAAAAAACCTTGAGTTTCCATAACAGTCAAATAGCTGGTGTTCAGAGGGGGAAGGGGGTGGAATGCTGTATATATATAAACATAGAGCTAWCTGAAGGAAGACAAAACAAAGTCCTACACGTTCACATGTAATGCACAGGTGACAAACAAATAAATTAAAGGTACTAGGATTTCAAATGTCATGGTATGCACACGCTTCAGAGAAGGAAGTTATAMAGCTTGACACAAAATAGGGAGTGATTTCTAAGACTCCATGCTTCAAGAAAAAGTAAATCTCTATTTTTTCTACTAAGTCTARTTTCATTTCTCTTAGGGATAAAATCAAATGGGTGTCACAAGCAAAGTTTTGCCAATTTGTCATTCAAATGCATTTTGGAAAAAGTTACAGGTAAATTCTCTAACAGGTCAAGAATCTGCAACATTTCTTTGTTTTGTTTTTTTAATGGAAAAGCGTGTATAACATTTTCACATCTTCAACTATAAATGGCTTTAATGACTAAAATGTTCAGAAAGCCTCTCCATAGACTGCACTGAAAAAACAAGAACCAAAAGGTTTCTTGGTACCATACACTGTAAATCAAGAAAATGTTCAGAACTGGCTGCCACACAGCTGAGGAAAAAATAATCATCATGAAGACTGAAAGCAGGAGATGGGCACTCTCCTTCACCAGTTCAGAATATGRGTTAGGATCTGACTGGAAGAGCTTCCAATTCCTGTTATAAGAGGTTCACTTRGAGGGCTCAAATCCATTCCAGTTTGACTTTCTGCTTCCTCACAGGAGCAGTGAGATCCCTTTGCTCCCCTTGACTTTCCTCCTAAGAATCTGTGTCCAAAGCTAATGCCAGTTTGAGTATAGCAGGACTAAGTGTGACTATTGGTATTCTTTAATAATACACAAACCCCACATTTTTAATCTAAAAATACAATTGGAGATAAWTTATTAAATGGTTTATATATTATAAAAATAATTTCTATATTTTGCTAGTGGGGGTTCTTCAAAGCTAGCYATGTAGACATTTTAACTACTAGGATTACAGGTAAGAGCAGATTACTTTTCAGAAATAAACTGATCTTTGGAGAACCTTTACTTGTTAAGAAAGAAAGCACACAAAGTGTTGGTTTMTCAAATAAAGAAGATATAACAGCAGTAAGCTTTCAGGCTTGGTGTTTTGTTTCCAATCCTGACTTCCCACCAGTTCCTGGCTACYACAGGGATGCTTCTGTTTCTTTCTCTGAGACACGCTCACAGTTTCTTTTCAGATCTTTCTGCCATTTTCCTCTTGTTTTCTGTGTGCTCTCTACCTCTGGTGATTACAATCAAACAAYGCCTCAGCAGCATTTGCAGAAATGYCCCTTTGGCAATCCCCCAGCCCGTGTGGGTCAGTCCTCAGTGGGCTCAGAATAATCTGCTGGATCACAGATTTTCAGGGAAGAAGGTTTATTTCACTCAGTCTAAGGCTGTGCAACAAATGCTTCATCTTTCCCAAGGTCTGCATTTGCCTGAACAGAGAGACTGACTGGTCAGCAGCTCTTRCACAAGGATTGTCTGGAATAGTCTGTCAGCTCTGCACAGACAATGAATAAAGCAAAGCAGAAGGCAGATATTAAGCAATGAAGATTGGATTTTGACCTTTAAATGCTGCTGGATGGATTGCACGAGGATATGTTTGATTCAAGGGATACTATTTGGTACAAAACTGTACTGTTTGCCTACTGTCTACCTGAGCTACCAGCTGAACCATTGTGTGCTTGCTGGCACACAAAGTGCTGCAGTGAGAGATGGCTCTGCTGAGTGAGCCCAGTAAGACAGGGTGGCACTGGGGAGTCTGGGGAGAGCTGAAAAGATGGAAAGAGCATGGCAAAATCTGATCACAAGGTGGAAGAGAAAATGTTCTGTTTTAAAACCCATTGATCAGACTTCCAGCAGTGCTCAGACTCCTCAAGCTCTGCAAAGGATTCAATCCAAATCAAATGTCTCATTTTCTCTCCTCTGGCCTAGTGGCATTTGAAATTTTGTACAACTTCTCATGATGACAAGCTRCCCTCTTGTCAGCTGTGATTTTTGCCAGAAGAGTCTGTATAACTGTTACAGTTACTTTATTTTCACAATCATTAATTGATCCTTTCTAAACATTTGAATGCCTGAACTTAATTAGTGGCAATATTTCTGCCATAGCTTTTAAAACTATTTTTATACATGATTTAAATTAATCAAGCCTTACACTTGAGATGGTAATTTGCTGGACCAAGACAGATATTTCCAGGCCATATACTTTATTTTCAATTCCAACCTCCATGTTTAAACCTTGTGGTTTAACTTAGATCAACAGCTTATTGATGATTCAAATTATATCATATCAAGTAATACMCACAAAATCTGATGCATCTGTATGACATCAATGGAGTGAAAAGCTCTTTATACAACTCAGGAAACCTCTGTGGTTTTTCACTTTTACATGGAAGTTAACTCCATGTAGTAAGCAGAGGTGAATATTTTTCAGCACAGCTCGCTAAAGGCTTACTGGGCTTAAAGTTGTAAATCTATCTCAGTCCTCAGAGAGGCTTGAGGTAGGTCATGGTGATTTCCTAGGAAAATGTGATTTCCAGGATGAAGTAAATGAGGTATATTTATTAACTCTGCATTTGAAATATCTAACCAGAATGAGATCTACCACAAAACTAAGAAATATTAAAATGGATAATTTACACAGTCCTAAATTCAAAATGTCTCTTTCACTGTGCTAATTGTTTGTACAGTAACAAGAGCATCCTGTACTGCTGAAAAYGCAAACAAGAAAGAACTATACACAYTTGTTCATTTYCTTATGTTGACACCTWAGARGCTGCATGGCCTTCTGACCTTTGCTGCTAATAAAAAAAAAACCACTGTTCAGTGACCTATCATCAGATTAAATGAAACCAAGATAAATAAATTCCATTCAAGAAAATGTAAAGAATGTGTCAATTTTATTTACATTTTCTCTCAAGCTTTTGGTGGGGTGGGAAATATTGTACGATGATAATTCTTTTCTTTTTAAGAGTCTACATTTAAGAACAAAATTCAAATAGTAARATAAATTAGATTAGCATCACTCCAGTTGAATTCCTTCCAAACACAGTCATCATACATTCAAACTAAACTCCAGTAGCAAGTGTATGAAAGATATCACTGTTTATTAATGCTAAGAATATAGGAGCCAAAAGGATCTCAAATATGATTCACTGAGAGAGTACCCACAAATCTCTTGGTCTCTTTTGAGATTTAACCTAGCATGAAACTCAGGCAAAGTATATTCTCAGCAAAATGGACAGGGCATCACAACACTCCTAAAAAAAGTAAGATTTGTGTGAGATCTAATTGTTGTGTCCCCCTCAGCTTTGAACTGAGGGGCTATGTTGAATAGTCAGGTTTTATGGCCAGTTCAAATTTTCACTGGACTTAACAATCACAGGGCAATTCTTACAGACTGTAGTAATGTTTTCTGTGACATGGACTTTGGTCCACTGAGATTTAGAGCTGAGATCTCTTTACCTTTTCTCAAGGAAGATCTCTTTACCTTTTKTCAAGTTTGTCTGTCTGGGGGAAGAAAAAAGGAACAAACCAAGTGACTACCATTAAATTCCACGGTAAAGACATTGTCTGAAGAATTTCTGAAGACAGCTGGCCAAAGCAGACCACTGACCAGGTCTGCAAGTATAAGACAATCAACTAGACATGACTTGGCTTTTTGTGGGAAAGGAAGCTTTGTACATGTACAGAAAAAATCTAAAGAAACAACAGTTACAGTTCTGTTTTTCACACATGAAAAACTCTTCCAGCAAACAATTTAAGTTCCCTGTGCACTACTAAAATCTATTTGAAAAATACTTCCTGCCCATATTTATCTCTGTGGAAGACTTGGATTAACTATCTAGGCTCAGGACAAAATGATCTTTGAAGGTAACAGTCCTGTGATGGAGAAAAGGGAGCATCTGTAACACTGTCTGTGAGGTTCACATGCCTTAACTTCATGAACCATAAGTTTACTTAAACAGAAATCATCACCTGGAACATGAGAAGMAAATGGCATTTTTAATATCAGAGGTATTAGCAATGAGCCTGTGTATTTCTTCAGAGGGAAATACCAGCRCAGACAGTGAATTAAAACATGCCATGGTAACAGATGAAGACTTCAACTGTCAACAAAATCAGGCTATTAATTTTCACATAAACAGTCTTTTTAAATCTTTGATTTTTAATATACAGTCCAAAGATCACTCTCACATTTCAGCAGCTTTTGTCTTTTAATGCCGATCACTTCAACTGTGCTTTGTGTCCCCTTTAGAAAAGGTGAGTGAAAATATCAAATGATATCTCATTCTGCCAAGACCAAAAGAACAGTTCAAATAATCAAAAATATTAGGCAGGGGCTTTACTCAAGGTAGGAAGGGAATGTGATTAGCAGAAGGATGGAGGGCAGAGGAGGCAGGGGGAGCCAAACTTAAATCCAAACCTCATTCTCTGTTTCAATCTATGCTCTTGTCTAGACTATGTAAAACAAGCAAAAATGACTGCATGGAAAACACACAATTATTTTGTTTCTCATCACGTTCTCTTTCCAAGTGACAGCTACTGAGGTTCAAGAGGAGCCTGGGGAGTTATTGGCCTGTCCATTACTACCAAAAGCAAAGGTGCCCAGACTGATCTACCTGGACTAAATTATCGCTTGCCACAGGATGTAATCTCTCCTTGGGCGGTTCTAAACGTGTCTGGGAGAACAACTCATGCTGCTGTGGCCTCTGTATCTCCTCAAAAYACAAGGATTTCAGACTTTACATCCATCAGCTTACAACATCTCTCCAGATTGCAACTCACTCAAACAAGAAAACAGACCCACGAYGTGTCTGGTACCGATCTTTTCCTTCAAATTTCTGTGCTATTTTTGAAACAGAACAAAGCTGGAACTTTCCTTTGACTCA